TAGCATTTAGTTTTAAAGGTGAAAGATACAGTATTATATAAAAAAATATTATTATTAGGTATTATTACTTATTAAGTTTATTACTTATAATATTATTACTTATATAATTACTTAAATTAAAATTTTAACTTCACTGACAATTTATTTTATAAAAATATTGTTTGAAATGTTTCTCTTCTCTCCTATATAATCAACATAATAAAAATGTTTGTTACGGAATAAGTTACAAAATCAATATAACCTGACCGCAATGATAATAAACATCATCAATCAGCATTATTTTAATATAATTATAATGCAAGAATCTTAATTTTGAAGTGAAACTTCTTTAGGCACGGTAGTAAGTTCGATTCGCGACACGAAAAAGTGTAACGGAAGTGAAACTTCTTTGGTACGGTAGTAAGTTCGATTGTGCGACATGAAAAGTGTAACGAAATATTGACCAATAGGCGTACGGCGTTGGCGAGACGGTTCTTCTTCTGGCACGGTAGTAAGTTCGATTATGCGACACGAAAAGTGTAACGAAAATTCGACCAATAAGCGTACGAAATGAAACTTCTTTGGTACGGTAGTAAGTTCGATTATGCGACACGTAAAAACGTCACGAAATAGTGTCACGAAAATTCGACCAACAGGCGTACAAAGTAAAACTCCTTTTGGATCGGTAAGTAAATTCGATTTTGCGACTCGAAAACGCGTCACGAAAATTCGATCAAGCGTACGGTACTGGCGAGACGGATATAGTAAGAACTGCGTGTAAAGGCCGGTTTTCACACGCAATGATTAGTGGCGCCAACTGACTGGCATTCATTGGCGCCAGAACCGACTAGCAAACTCACAAGTATTTACACAGTGATTGGCGTATAATATGGAAAATATTTAACATTTATTAAACACACAGTAAATGACAGCAAGCATATAATCTCCAAATTTGAGGTTATATGCTTTGGCCAATAACCGCCAGTAAACGCCACATTACTAGCGCCAGTTTGTATCAAGTGTTTACACTTGCATTTTTACTGGCGTTAGTCGACTGGCGCGGCCTGGCGCCACCAATCATTGCGTGTGAAAACCGGCCTTAAAGCCCGGTTTTCACACGCAATGATTAGTGGCGCCAACTGACTGGCATTCATTGGCGCCAGAACCGACTAGCAAACTCACAAGTATTTACACAGTAATTGGCGTATAATATGAAAAATATTTAACATTTATTAAACACACAGTAAATGACAGCAAGCATATAACCTCAGAATTTGAGGTTATATGCTTTGGCCAATAGCCGCCAGTAAACGCCACATTACTAGCGCCAGTTTGTATCAAGTGTTTACACTTGCATTTTTACTGGCGTTAGTCGACTGGCGCGGCCTGGCGCCACCAATCATTGCATGTGAAAACCGGCCTTAATACTATTTTCGAGTTGCGGGCGGCTTGGAGTGACTATAATTCCGTTGCATTGTTTTTGTATTAATTTCAGAAAAGTTATGGCAAAGCCTTGCCTTCAGAAGTTTCACTTCTAACGCGCGTGGCGACCACGCGTTCATTTTTTTTTATTTAGTGAATATTATACATGTGTTACGTCCAAACACCGAAATCGCTATGTAGGTTAGTGACGCGCTTTAAACACTTAAATACTTTTAAAGCGCGTCACTCACACACACACACACACACACACACACACACGCGCGCGCGCACGGGGGGGTGCAAGGGGGCCTTCGGCTCCTCCTCCCGCACCCACCTCCGCCGGTAGGCAGCGTGGACCTCGCTTTAGGAATTTCGCGTTTTGACTGTAAGAGAAACACGTTAGACCGCGAATTTACTAAAGCAGTCGATTAATTCTAGTTTTAACTAAATTTTTTCAGTTAGAACGCGAATATACTAAAGCACTCGGTCAATTCTAGTTTTGACTAAATTATTTCAGTTAGAACGCGAATTGCCGAAGCTAGCTTCCCAGTAAGCAAGGAACATTAAATTAACGTTTAGAAATATTGATTTTATGTGTATTTTTTAAACGTTTTTTAATAATATTATACACATATTTGAAAAATATTATTTCGTAATATGATTTTTCTGAATGTTGTTAAAATATTTTAAAAACGTTACAGAAAATATTTTTCAAATGTTACTCTGACATTTATTTGAGATCAATGCAACAGTTCAAAGTTCCTTGTAATTTGGACTTGGAAATAACGTTGGTAGTATATTAATTTTCTGTTGTTAGAATGTTATTGTTTTATATTGTACGCAACGCTCATCGCGACAGCCATGATGCGTACATTTACGTATGTACAATGCGTGAGTGTGTATACACGCGTGTGGATCGAGCAGTGCGGAGTGCTCTTTATTTAGAGTATATTTATATATAAGTAAGTAACTATTATATTCTAAAAGTTGTATATTAATAATAAGAACTCAATTAACCATACGTGCTATGAATAGTAGTTGATATGATTATTTATAACCTATAATTTAGGTTAACTACAAATAACGTTCTTTGGGTATCGGTAGAAGCTATATAGTGGAATTATTTGCTATTTTCTTGCAATTTACTGCCGATTATTTTTAGCTGTTTGAACGCGTCGAGATCATGAGCAGACGCACGCTTGTCGCGACAGCCCATCGGAAGCAGTAATAGTTCTGGAGACTGTAGTCGCATTATCTTACATACGTATGATGCGTGAGTGTGTCATATATACGCACGTTTGTGCTTGTGCTGTCGAGCGCTTTTAATTGTATACAACATTTTTATATGAGTAAGTAATTATTATATTCTAAAACTTGCATATTAATGATAAGAACTTAATTATCTATATGTGCTGTAAATAGGTAGCTGGTGATTCAAGATCTATTTTTTGACCTATATAAGAGAGAGATTTGCAGAAGAAAAGAAATATACCAAAGTATTAATAAGGATCAAACATATTCTTGATGTATGTACTCGGGTCGCGAGGCTGAGCAATATTCTAAGGAAAGTATTATACAATTGAATCGTTTTATATTGTGCGCAACGCTCATCGCGACAGCCATGATGTACATGATTATCTTACATACGATGCGTGAGTACGTATACACGTGTGTCAATCGAGGAGTGCAGAGTGCTCTTTATTTACAGCATATTTATATATAAGTAATAATTTATATTCTAAAAGTATATTAATGATAAAAATTCAATTAACCCATACGTGCTATAATTATTTATTGTGCTATGAATAGTAGCTGGTGATGTAGGATTTATTTTCCAATTTACAAGAGAGATTTACAAAAAAGAGGAAATATTAATTAATTTTTTTACGTTCTATAATAGATTTGTCCTTGGACATTAAAAATATCATCAAGGTTTGTCAATGCTATTATTTCAATGGTACCAAACAGTGTAACTTTCTATAAAATAACCTCAAAATTTAGCGAAATATGTAAATGATAACGTATAAATAAGCTGGTACACTATGCATGAAGACGATTTGTTGAAGTATTGTGCGGCTTTAATATATCATTGTTTGCATATATCACTGTAAAAGTAATTTAGTATAAAATTGGTATAAAGTTGATAGATATGTAACAAATGATCAGTACAAACAAGACCAAAACTGACTTTTTATTTATTTCTATATTTTTTTCACATATATGTGCTATAATCACACTCTAAAGTATATAAATTGATTATTGTAAGCATATTTTATATGTACATACAGGGCAATAAATATGTCTTAACATATGGGATCAACAATTGTTGTATCAAATTCAAAAAACCACCATTTGAAAAATTTGACCCTGGCTAAGATAAACATCAGTGAACAATATATTATAAGGAAAACTCTGTACAAGATACTAGAAATGCTAAAAGATGACCAAGAAGCTTTTACACAAGTCGTAAGTAAAGCTGCTTATTATAATTAAATTA